ATAAAACATGTGCTAAGTGCAAAACTAGTAGAGCAGAAAAAAAAAAGTTAGCTGATGATATTGATAGTGAAGAAGACCGAATTGAAATAATTCCTATTAATGAAATTAGTAGTTATATTTCTGATATAATTGATAGTTTAGAAGATTCTATACTTTTTTCTACGTTTCATATTAAACTTGATGAAGATATACTTACTTCTGTTGGAACGGATATTTCAATTATGGCTAAGCTGATCGTTGATGAAATTGAAGAAGGTGATAATTTTAAATGGGTGTAAGTAAATTATAAATTTTAAATTTTATAAGTGTTGTAAAGCAAAAACCTATAAGTGAATATTAAAGTTTTTACTATAGTGAAAACTTTAATATTTACTTATAGGTTTTCATTTTACAACTCTCAAATACAGAAATTTATATTAAATATAAATTATAATTATAGTGCCCCAACTGCACTAAACTTCTCAACTCATTTCCAAGGTGTCGGAACTGTATATTTTATTTGTTCTCAAAGTAATGAGATTGAGCGTAAATACAAAGATTCTAATTGTAAAAGAACAGACCAGTTTAGTTGTAATAGTAAATTAAATATAAATATTGATATTCCAGCTACAAATGCTAAAGTAACATTACAACATGAATTAGTACATGAAAAGCTTATTGATGTCACAACACCTCTAGAAATAAGACAGGAGATTTTAGAAAATTTGAATATGGATCCTGTACACTTACGTACACATCTTCTCAAAAAATTTAATATATCTAAAGTTACTTTGAAACAGATCCAATATTAGTGGTCATATTATACGCAGAAATTCTATAAACATAATGAAGATCATATTATTTCTGCATGTGCTCTTATTGAAGGACAAAAAAAAAAAGAATATGATCTTTGTTTTCAATTAGAAACTAGTTATGTTACGGCAATTGGTTTTACTACTCCTTTGTTTGGTTCATTATATAATGTAACTAAGGTGCATTGTGATGCCATATACAAAACTGCCAAAGGGCAATTTGAACTTTATGGACTTGTTAGAAATGTTGAAGGTGCTGGTTTTCCTCTAGCCTATCTTATCCTAGATATATCAAAAGCAGGTGACGGAACTCAAGAAAGGTTGCATACTGAGGCTCTTCAAGGTTTTTTTAATACTCTCTATAATAAAGGCCTACATCTGATTTTCTTTTATACAGATAAAGATTTTGCTGAAATAAATGCTACAAAAAATATATGGCTAGCAAGTAATATACAACTTTGCCTCTGGCATATTGAAAGAGCTCTAAAAAAAAAACTTAAAAGTAAAAAAAAAATTAAAAAAACTAATTACCAATATGAGGACGTTGTAAAGGAATTTTCTTTCGTCAATTTTTCTTTTAAACTTGACTTAAAACATGAAGATAAAGAATATTATATTATTTGTCAATCGAATTTACAAGACAATATAATTAATCTTATAAAAAAACATTTTCACATATATTCCAAGATCCCAACTAGTTCAAATAGTCAATTTCTATCTCCTGTTGAAATAAGAATAATAGCAGTTCGTGAAATTTATAAATTTTGTAATAAACATAAACTTGTATTACTTTGGTCATATTTGTAGTGTGCCTGGTACAAACCTTCTCGATGGTGTCTTTAGGCTCGTTCTACACATGAAACAATACCTCTTGGTAAAACAAATATGATGATTGAAGCATATTGAAAAGTTTTAAAACACTATTACCTTTATCAATTCAATCGTCCACGACTTGATCATCTTATTTGGATTATTTGTACGTGAGTATTACCTGATCAAATTACCCATCTTCAGCAAATTTTGCTTAGTAGATTGTCTCCATCGTGGTTTGAAGATTTCAAGAGTGAATAGAAAAACCTTTTAAAAAAATCAATTAGTAAAAGAATCGAAGAACACTATTATATCGATTTGAAATGCTAGATATGTAGTTGCCCTTACTTTCTTTATAGTCATTTCCTAATTTGCAAGCATTTAATTCATATAGCATCGGAAAAGATAAAAGAGTCTGAATTATAAGATATTCAGTTAGTTTATTCTAATTTTAAATGACAAACAGAATATCCATTTTTAATCTGGGACGGAAGTGAAACTCAAAACATACCTGAAAATATTCCTAGTTTAACATTGTATAATCAGACTCTTGTTGAAAATACTGAAAGTTCTAAAGATACAGAGCAATGTCAAGAAATGAAATCTAAAATAGCTTTATTAGACTCTTTAGTTAATCATTTAAACATAGAATTGACTAATAATAATTTGCAACATGTGGAAGCTGTTGTGAATAATTTGGGTTGTGTCTTTACAATAATTAATGATATTGAAATAGCAAAAGCTAGACAGTAGCGAGTTTCAACTTGGTGAGGATCAAAGCCATAGACTTTATTTTTATCTTTAGAATAGCGATAATACATATAAAAAAAACTTTTTTCTTAGTTGAACAACTTTGTATTGTGCTGTGCATAAATAATTTGATAAAATTTTCTTTTATTAAATAGAGTCATAAAATTGCAATGTCGTATAGTAAAGCTTTCTTATTAAAGTCATTATTTGTTATGTTCGTTCGTTTGTTGTATGTGTTGTATGAAGAATGCAACATAACCATTATTATTGTATATTACATAATCATTATCATTGTACATATGTTACATAATGATAGATTAACCGGATAGACTGGATAGATTGGGTCGTAAACACGTGACTAGAAAATATACTCTGCGCCCTATCAATTTGTATACAAACTAGATTGAAATATAGTATAGCATAGTTAGGTATTACAGCATCTATCAATTAGGAAGTTGGTGAAAGGATACCTGAAATAGGTTTAGGCTTCTAATCATAAAGTTTGTAAACTTATGTTAGCTCTGTTGATGTCTTTCAAAATAGAAATAGTATGGGGTTAGATGAATTTAAGTAATAAATACAGTCAGACCTCTATATAATCACCAAGTTGGTTACACCCTAATTTGGTGATTGTATAGAGGTGTGACTATA